AAACCGACCAGAGGCAGTTGAATAAACTATATTATTATTAATGGGAATTTAAATTAACAATTATTAATAAATCGTGAGGAGAGAATTATTATATTTTGAGTGGAATGAAATTTACTGGTGGAAACGGCCAAAACACAGATTCTAATTATGGTTGTGAAGAGTTGAAATTTGGGGAGATATGTAAGTTCTCCAATTTTTCGCAGTTTAGCAAATATGAGTAAATGACACTCAGTTGTTTAACATCTGTCTTTTTGTTGATACAGTTGTTATTCATGAAAATGTGGGACATTTCCAGGAATAAACGTTTGGAAAGGTGTTTTTCTTTATCAAGAACTTTGATACTTGTGTAATTCATAGAATGCCCTGTTGTGTTAACATGAGATGCTAGAGCGCATCTTTCAGGATGAAGCCTAGCATCACTTTTGTGTGATGTAATCCTTCCTTTAAGAGATCTGGAGGTCTGACCTATGTATATTTGGTTGCAGTTGTTGCAATTGATGGAGTAGACTGTGTTGGTTAAGCCAAGCAGCGGGACTTTGTCTTTCATTTTTGAAAAAATGCAGTTTATAGTGAGGACGGACTTGCAAGCAATTCGAAAGTTCAAAGGACTGCATAATCTGATCAGCTTAGGGGTCAGTTCCTTGATGTAGGGCAGGACAGCAAAACCAGGTCTGGAGTCCGGGTTGGTGCTAGTACTGTTAGGATTGATGTTATTATTGGGAATTACATCAGTTCCGTTATTAGGGGTTGTGCGACTATTACCTGCATCACCAGAGTTCGGCAAAATATTGGAAGGTGAACTAAAAATGATCTTGTTAATCAGACACTTCGGATAACCATTATTGATGAACAGTTTTGATAGTTTACGTAAATTTGAGGTGTGGAAGGTATTATCTGAGATGCTGATTACCCTTGTTTTCATCTGTTTTACCAAATTGATTTTAATCCCTAGCTTATGGTATGACCTAAAATTGAGAAACCGACCTGAGGCCATAGGTTTCTGGTACCAGTCTACCAATAAACTGTTGTTGTTGGTGCGAATGAGTCTTGTGTCTAGAAAGGGGACAGACAGGTTCTCATCTTCTTTTTCAATGGTAAATTGGATGTAGGGGTCATAGCTGTTGAATTCTCTGACAATACCATCCAGACCTATGGAAGGGAGGCATAAAATAATGTCATCTACGTATTTTTTTATGAAGAAGAGGTTATAGGGTAGTGTCGGAATAACAGTATCAAGCAGATCATCCATGACATATTCCGCCAAAATTGGTGACAGAACAGATCCCATAGGACAACCATGTGTTTGAGAATATATTTTGTTGTTGAAAGAGAAATAATTGTTATGAAAAAGGAATGTTATAATGTTGGTGAAAGATTCTAGAGATATGTTGCAGTGTTGACTTATCTCATTCCAGTGTTTATTAATAGTTCTTGTACATGCATCCAGATATGTTAGATGTTGCTGAATAGTGACACCACATCAAGACTGGCGATAATATGTTCGGCTGGTATTGTCAATCTATTGAACTGACGAGAGACTTCAAATGAGTCTTTGATGTAGTAATCATTGTCTGCATGTGCTGATTTTAGTGTTGTCGATATTAATGAAGACAAAGCCTGGGTGGCTGAACCTATTGATGCAACTATAGGTCTTACTGAGAGTACAGGTTTGTGAATTTTCGGAAGTGCATAAAATTTGGGAGGGACAGAGTTATAAGTAGTCAAAGTTCTTTTTTGTTCTTGGGTTATTTGTCCAGTGCTGAGGAGTTCCTTAACAATGTCATTACTTTTCTTTTCCACTTTAAGTGTGAGATCTTTATTAATTTCATGATATGATGGGTCATCATTGATGAGATTGTTGCAAAGATCTAAATAGTGTTGTTTAAGCATTATCACTGTAACATTGCCTTTGTCAGATCTTGTAACTATAAGTTCAGGATGTTGTTTTAGAAATGTTCTAGTTATGTTTAAAAGGTTGTGATAAAAGGAATGTTTTTTATTAAGATTGTTATTATGATAATAGTTAGTGATGAGGTTAGTGGAACGAGTTGTGAAAATGTTTCTTTCAGTGTCATCACTTATGGAGGATGCTATTGTGTCTACATCCGCTAGGATTGATCTGATTGGAATGTCATTGTTAACAATCGGCTCTACACTGAACTTAGGCCCTAAGGAAAGAAATTTTAAAATGTCATGAGGGATGTCAACGTTACTGAGATTTTTTATCCAATTTTGTTGAGTGTTGAGGAAGGTTTTTTTGGTGTCATTCAACAATCTGTCAAACTTACGAGTGTTGGAGTTTTTTATGTTATGAAAGATTTTATTGTAATGTCTGAGTTGTCTATATTTGAAATTATCAAAAATTAAGGGAGAAGTGGAAGAAATTATGTCACTTTGGAGTGAATTGAGTATGGAATGAAGTTTTTTTTTTCTTTTTTTTTTTCAACTGTCTGTGGCAGGAAGATATCTCAAGCGTGAGTATTTTGTCACCTAACCTGTGCAGACGATTTTTCATCCCATCTTCTATTGAATGGCTTTCTAGTAAGTGTGTGATTGATGTTAAACGGTGGGTGATGACCATTTTGCTGTCCTGCCCTACATCAAGGAACTGACCCCTAAGCTGATCAGATTATGCAGTCCTTTGAACTTTCGAATTGCTTGCAAATCCGTCCTCACTATAAACTGCATTTTTTCAAAAATGAAAGACAAAGTCCCGCTGCTTGGCTTAACCAACACAGTCTACTCCATCAATTGCAACAACTGCAACCAAATATACATAGGTCAGACCTCCAGATCTCTTAAAGGAAGGATTACATCACACAAAAGTGATGCTAGGCTTCATCCTGAAAGATGCGCTCTAGCATCTCATGTTAACACAACAGGGCATTCTATGAATTACACAAGTATCAAAGTTCTTGATAAAGAAAAACACCTTTCCAAACGTTTATTCCTGGAAATGTCCCACATTTTCATGAATAACAACTGTATCAACAAAAAGACAGATGTTAAACAACTGAGTGTCATTTACTCATATTTGCTAAACTGCGAAAAATTGGAGAACTTACATATCTCCCCAAATTTCAACTCTTCACAACCATAATTAGAATCTGTGTTTTGGCCGTTTCCACCAGTAAATTTCATTCCACTCAAAATATAATAATTCTCTCCTCACGATTTATTAATAATTGTTAATTTAAATTCCCATTAATAATAATATAGTTTATTCAACTGCCTCTGGTCGGTTTAACAAATTCTAACATAAAATTCTGAAAATCTCATCATCTGAAGTGATTTGGCAACGTTTTGGCACACGCCCACAATTCGTTCCATCTTTCAATACTGACATTGACATCCTTCGGCCTTCTGTCAAAGGGTTTCATGTCACTCATCAATTCATCATTCCATGACCACTAATTTGTGCAATCATCAGGTGGTTTCACGATGTAATGCTCTAATTTTTAAAATAATTTTTAATCTGTTTTTAACTTGTTCTTGTCATGTTTTGTATAAATTTTGACTATTGTGCAATCTATTCAGCTCTCACCATGTTACTGGACGTTTCCCTCATCCTATACGTAAACAACAATTAGCAACATCCTCACATACTACTGTAAGTTGAGTCAATTTAAATTCATTTTACACCTTTGTTGCTACTGTTATCATTGTAATTGCAGCTCCTGATGATGATGGCAAAGTCCATTGAAAGCTAGAGAGAATAAAAAAAGTATAAAGAGTCCTCTTTGCTTAAATCTTGTCGAAGTACCCAACAAAAGGCGGAAGCTTTAATTTTTCACCTAACTGGTCTAGACGACAATGACCACGTCTCAAGTTATATATATATATATAAACACAGGTCTCATGAAGCGTCGTTTTCAAGATTTAGTTATTGTTTTTTAAACGTCGCTGTATTGTGAAGATCTAAAATCAGATGGTCTTGTGTAAATCCATGTATACAAGCATCGATGAAATTCAAGTACTCAAGGGAACCATTCTAACATCCATATGTGGTGTTACCAAAGTACTTCTTTGAATTGCTTTTAGTTAAGCTCCTGGCCGTACATTTGTACCAGCTGAATTTCAACAATTGCTAACAAACTCAGCCACAAAATTATTTAGGATAAGATAAATAGATTTTGACTGATTTATGGAAAAAATTAAGATATACGTACCCTCCCTCACCCACTGCAAACTCCACACCCCAATTTATTTCTCGGAAAATTTGAGCAGGAGACGTAAGCCCCCCATTCATTAGTGGATTGGTGTGACGGATTGGTTCGTCCTGACTTGTCCGCCGACCGATCCGCCAATATATGGTATTGAAAGACATGTCGCACAGTGGTCCGGGTCGGGTTGTGAGTTCGCTTGTTTGAATACCGAACCTACGACCCGACCGCGACCAATCCGTGCTGTTTTTACAATGTGTGTGTAACTTGTCAATACTTGTCCGGCGACGAAAGAGTTCTTCCGAGATCAAAGAAAGTATCAAGGCATTTTTTGAAGGGAATTCAAATTATAATGTCTTTTGAAGATAATAAATCTTTTTGGGAGGAATTTATCCAACTTTACCAGGAAAATCCTTGTCTTTGGGACTTCAAGTGTAAGGATTACTGCAACAAACAGAAAAAAAATGCTGCATATGAGAATTTAATTAACAAAAGCAAAGAAATCTTTCCAGATGCCAACAAGAAATTTGTTATCAAAAAAATATCGTCCTTACGGTCATCTTTCTGACGCCAGATAAGGCGTATTAATAGTTCAAAGAGAAGTGGGGTGGGAACAGAAGATGTACCAGAACCTACATTGTGGTATTTTGATCTATTGTCTTTCCTGATGGATCAAGAAGAGTCTCGTGCAGCAGTTTCTTCGATAGAAGGAAATAACCTAGATGACCAATCACAGGCCTCAGTAAGTAGATATTTTAACTAACAAATAATCTAAAAAGACAATATTTATAATAATTCAGATATTTTATTTCAACACATATACTATACATCTTAAACTTAATATACAAATTTGTGTTGAAAGTCAACTTCACCTGCATTATTATAATATTCTTTATATCCATTTCGTATCATCTTTGCGTCAATAGTCGGAGATCCTTGCCTGGACACATCTAATGATATTAGTTCTCCATTCATGTGCATATCACCTATCAATACAGTCCCTGAGATAATGTCTTCAGTATCGATGTTACTAGGTTGTATGTAAGAAGTGCTTTTGCGGCGTAAAAAGTTGTGTAAAACACGGCATGCCATAACGATATCATCAACTGTATCCACTTTAGTAGCTATTGGCGTTAGGAAAATCCTGAATCTATTTGCCATGATCCCGAATGCGTTTTCTACTACGCGCCTGGCACGGCAAAGTCGATAGTTGAAACATGTTTCTTCATAACCAATACTGTTGGTTTGTCTGTATGGCGTCATGAAATTTGTCATTAGACTAAAGGCTTCGTCCCCAATAAACACAAAGGGTAATTTATTTTGAATTCCTCGCATATTGACTGGTTGGGGTAATTTTAAAGAATCTGTTATCAGTAAATTGTAAAAATCTGTTTTCTTAATGACCCCCCCGTCTGATATTCTTCCATTAGTTCCACAACTTACATAAGTAAATTCATAATTAGCATTTACGATAGCAAACAACACAACACTGAAAAATGCTTTATAGTTATAATAGGATGAACCACTTCCTGGGGGCTGTTTGATAGCTATGTGTTTGCCGTCTGTCTACGGCTCCTAAGCAATTTTCAAATTGCCACATATTGTTAAATCCTTCTGCCACTTTGAGCCATTCCTCTTCTTTTGATGGAAACTGAAACCAAAAATAACACAGCTATCATATGAGGCAAAGTTAACTGTGAGCTATTTTATTGCAGGAAACCGATGCATACACACAACATTCTGATCAGGATTTAGATTCATCATCAGTTTTATCGCCTGAAGCTCCTCAAAGTGCAACACCAAGTTCCCGTAACAAGCGAACTCTCAACTGCACAACTTGGACACAGAAGAAAAATAAATTTTTGGATGCTTCCATAAAAGTATTGGAAACTCCGCAACAGGATGTTCTTGAACCATAAGAAATAATATTTGGCAAAAATACTGGTCAACAATTACAGGATATTGCAGTTGGACAGAAGATAATAGCCCAAAAACTGATTTCGGATGTGCTATACCATGCAAAATTGGGAAATCTCATACATTCTTCTCATATTTCCCTGGGTTACCAACCACCATCATATCAAAGTGCCCCATGCGTTCCGCAAGCACAAATATTTCAAAACTCATGCTCCAGGTATACAACATCCATTAACCCAACCTTTAATGAACCCAGCACGTCATATACACGTCAACCAGATGTACCAACTTTTACCACTTTGACAACTCCAAATCAGGCGTCTGCAAATAGGGAAGTGATGGAAGAATTTTTAGTTTTTCCCAGGCAAAATAATTAAGAAGTGATAAGGTACTACGAGTATTACAGACTGATTCACATATCTTTAATTGTTAGACATAATTTGAAATAATAAAAGTTTTTTCAACACTCTGTTTCTTATATGCATCAGAATACATGAAAAAAATAATTATTGTACTTACTCATAAGTATTTCTTCCGGAGGCAGTTGTATATAGCACGACACGTTTCTGGAATTATTCTTCCAAGTAACTGAGGAGAAATTATACAAGAAAACTTTAAGTCTTCATAACTCCTCCCAGTTGCCAGAAACCTCAAGGTGGCCAACAGACGTTCTTCAACGCTTACTGCTTCTCTGAATAAAGTGTTCTTCTTTTTTATCAGAGGTTTTACTAGCATTAATAATTCTTGGAATGCGTCATAGTCCATTCTGAGGTAATTTATAACATCAAGTGGTTCACATGATTGGATACATTTCAATAATCGCAAATGAGTAAATTGTTCTCTCTTTTGCAGCCATTCTTTCACCCAAACACGTTTTTTCTTTTTTTCTGATTCTTATAATATGATTGTACCTACAGCCAAAGCAACTTTCGCCTTTTTTGATAATATCGGAGACATAATGCTATTGGGTTCGCCACATTCAGTGCACAAATGACCTCTTTTGCAGGGTTCGTGTAATTTCCGTCTAATGTATTGACAAATGTGGATGAGTCGTCAGTCGGGTCCCGGTTGCCGTCCGAGTTCAGGTGCGTCTAGTGAATGGCCCGCATAAAAAGTCAAAAAAGCAGTTTTTAGTTTTTTGACCCGTAACTTTGCCGCCACTTGACTCGATCTCCAAAACCTGTTTTATCTATGGGGCAGTAAGTAACCTTGTGTCCAAATTTCATCAGCGGTACTTTCCAAGTTATACACGGATCAAGGATCAGCGGACAGACACATTGACCTACGGGAATGAATGACATGGTTTTTCATAATGTAGATGTGATCTTCCAAAGACATATCCTAATTTCGTAACGCTGATGCAGTATACAGGGTGTTTCCAAAGTTGAGTCATTAATTTTAACAGCTTGTAGAACTGGTCAAAAGAAGTTGATCGGGCAAAAATGACATATAAAAGTTGCATAATAAGAGAGTCTGTTTACGAGTAAATTATTGAAAATTATTTAAAAAAATCATTATCAAGTTAAACGGATACCGTTTCCATGACAACCGTTCAAAATTGACCAGTTTTGTTCGATTAACGCAGAATCTTGCTCGACCAATCCACGACTCCTTACAAGTATCGAAAATTAGATCCTGGTGCCCACGAATTAAATCAGCATTTACAGTGTGCTGTGGCAGCTCCATCATGATACACTAACATTCAAATAGCCCCACTAAAAAAATCACAGGGCGTTTAATCCGCGGAGCGAGAAGTCAAAGAAATTGCGCCCTATCCATCTATTCGGAAACTCATTATTTAGATGTACTTGAACTTCTTCGTCTAAAATGTCATGGAGCCCCATCATATAGGAACCACATATTCTGTCTCACACTCAGAGAAACAACTTCTAATAATTGTGACAGATTGTGTCGAAGAAAATCTAAGTGAATTTCACAGGTCAGTCAAGGTGCAAAAAAGTAGGCTCCAATAATCATGCCATTTACCACGCCAGCCCAAACATTTAATGGAAATCTATATTCAAAATGAGTTCTTTTTACAACACGCGGATTTTCTATTCCCCAGACATGATTGTTGTGGAAATTGTGCACTCCATTTCGTGTAAATCTGGCCACGTCTGTACACAAAATTGATTTCGTAAAATCTTCATTTCTGCCGCACTGTTCTAAAAGCCTTTAGCAAAATGCAACTCTTCTAGGGTGATCTTCAGGTTATAATGCTTGTACCCGTTGATAATGATAAGGATAACACTGTTCCTGTCGTACTGTCTTCCACACTTTACTTTGAGAAACTTCAACTTGAGCTGCTATGGCTCATTATTGGATTGTCTTCTAGCATTTTTAAAATGTCTTCCTCAATTTGTAACATTTCAGGTTGAGCAGGTCTTCCTGCATGACCTCTTTGTTGCTCTTTTAAATATCCTGTATCACGAAGTCTTATAACTAAATCTACAAACATCCGTGGGGCCGAATGATTTCTTAGGGAAAACCTTTCCGCATACAACCTGCATGCTGCGGCTACATTTTGTTGGCACTCTCCGTATGTTAGTACTATGTCCACTATTTTCGTAAACCTGGGCCATTTTTTCGCTCAAAATAATTAGACAAATGAAGTTATATGCACTATTAAAAGACTGATACAACTGATCGAACCAAGGACTCGAACTGAAAACAACACAATAACACAAAAAGTTTGTCAAATTTAGATAAACGATAAAAGTAGTAAACAAAAAACGCTAAGATTTTACACGGCAGTGGTCGAGAATATTAAAAAATCTGTGTAATAACATTATTTTTTTTAAGGTTTTTAATCTTTGACCATTTAGTTTATTATGCAACTTTTATATAGGTTATGTATGGAAGTACTGATCTCAACCTTAAACGGTTCAGACAGATCTTCTCATGAGCACCGCACAACAATCTTATCTCGTTTTTTTAACCCAGAAAAATCCTAGAGCTCTAATGTTTCTGGAAAGTTTATGAAGGGTAGGATCTGACGGATCTGAATATACAAACTACGGATACCTCACGAAGCAACAGTGACCAAAACACTGACTGGTATCTTTTCCGATACATTCCAAAATTAAATGGTTTTCTATTGCTACTTAAAGCATTTCTGGCAGTCGTGATCGAAATTGACCAGCTTAAACCAGTACAGTCGCATTTTCCTTAACATGGAAATATTAACATGACTTTGTTGTGGACGTGCATGTCTGGACCACTGTCTAGGTCTCATTAACATCATGGGCAAGTCGATAGTAAAGATCAAGCTGTCGAATATTTTACGGCCACTGCTATAAATTATATGGCAACATCAATAGAGGATCTGTAGGCGAGTTTCTTAACTCTAGCGGCACTTGTCGCGAACTTTTGATTCTAGTCGAAAAAGAAAGATATTCCATATCGGTTTGCCCAGTTGTGCTCATGAGGCAACGCAGTTGTTGTGAGCTTCGCTCTGTCGACGTGCGGCTTTGGTGTTCAAGGAGGGACCAGCCCCTTTGGCCCTAATCAGGGAACGTATTATGGGTGAAGGAATTGGAATCCTGCATTGCTCCAGGCGAGTGCCAGTCCGTCCATGCATTCCAGGACCGCTTAAGCGATGACTAGGCCTCAGAAAACTGGGGTAGGTTATCAAAATGTATGCACACAAAGCGCTGCTTACTAAACACATCGAATAAATACCAAACATGCTAGATAACTGCGACGCTACAGGTACAATTTTAAGTGGCAAGGGCGTGGATAAGAACATCTTAACAGCAGTGAACGAAGATGCGATAGCAAGGGGAGTAAGCAACAATAAACGAGGACGGTTCCGCCCCTCTTTAAAACACAGCGGTCTAACTAGCTGATGCAGAGCCGGATTCGGGACTCCCGTAATACATGTCACGGAAACTGGGGTTAAAAGTGCTCAATGCTGGAAGAATTGAGGGCTCTATCCTCAAGAAAAAAACAAAATCCAGTATTATATGATTTTATGGACGCTGGGATGCAAGTTGGAGCAGTTGAATGGTATCGTCGACATTAGTCAAAATACAAGAGGAGATATTGAGAAAATAAACGTCGATCTACACGATCTCAGTGCCTCTTTAAATAAGGAATCGTTGAAAAGCTGACTAGCTAGCTTGAAATAAGTCCGAAACCCACACTTTTGATGCTGATGAGCAGATACAGATGCACATGAAAAAGGGAGTGGCGGCATAAGGGACAAAACAAACCAGAGCGACTGAAACTCAAACGAGTTTGAAAAATATTGGCAACGCCTTGCTGATACAACGAGTAAACGCAGGCGTAAACTGTGATAAATTGGTGGCGCTGGACAAGGAAGTAGAATGGCCAGTTTGAAGTAACCAAAGTAGTAAAATGGGATGCAAGTGTTCCTGTAAAAGATACTAGTACTCTGATACTGGTAAATGATACGGAAGTGGGTCAACGAAGTGGTAGTGTACTTACAGCGAATCATATTGAACTTAAATTGGCGCAAAACGGTGAGGAAGAGCAAATCAAATGCACCGTAAAGACAAACAGTATAGTTGTTTCAGACGTAGACTGTGACAGCTCAACGTGGCAGGCGAAAAGAAAGCTATAGATATCAAGGTCGCTGAATACAATGAGCTCGGACTAACATGTTAGGGCGAGCTTTAACAGCATCTCAAAAACAGAAGGTTGACGAAATTTTAATCAATCCACTGGGGTTCAAGAATCTGAATTAGCTGTGAAAATGTGCGGCATACCTTGGAAAGGGTATTTGCATACATATGGGAATATATAGGGGAAGACAGGCGGTAAGAAGACATCTCGTTTAAAAAATAGTAGAGATAATCTGCTGGAGAGAACAAGGACGCACTCATAATAAATACAGACCAGAGTGGAATCTCTTTCCCTAATAAGTATGAGTGACTGAGACAAAAAAATAAACTTGCAGGACCAATGTGCAGTGATGCTCAACTCCAGGCAAACAAAAATGGGTCAAATTGAGCTAAAAGTATCAGAGAAAAAGGATGGCGCTGCTAAAAGCCTGATGACACAAGTTGAAGGTACTCTGGGTGCCGGCAATGTAACCAAGGCCCGAGAAAAAAACATAGCAAAAATACGTGACCTTGTAGGAACCGTACATAAAGAAGAGCTAAAAGAGAAGAGAGTAAAGCAGTGGAAGAAGCTACTGGACGACAAATCCTTGAGCCCAGAGCACCGAAAGGTGGAAAATGTCCTTGAGCTGTCTTCATGGTGATTCCTGAGGGGCTTCGATGTATGATATTAGAACAGCGATGGTTCAAAAGCACAGTAACCGGAAAGGTGTCGTCATCCAGATGTTACAGGTGCTAGCTCTTTGGTCACGCTTGGTAGCAATGCAAGTCAAATGAGAACAAAAGACACAAGTGCCTCAAATATGAGGATGACAAGCACATAGCTACAGATTGCGTTAATGAATTGAGGTTCTATGTATGCGGTGGAAAGGGCCATCGCGCAGACAATGTGGCCTGCACAAAATACAGGGAAGTGGTGAAACATCCTCGTTTCATTTCTAAGCAACAAGCAGCTGACGCAGCTGTAACAAAACAGACGACATCTGTGACAACCAGAAAAGCTGATGCATGTGGTTCATCTCAGCCTCTGTTCGAAAATGCCGAAGGCGAGGAATTCCAATTGTCAAAAGCAGGAAAGATATGAGAATGGAGAGAAGCAACACTTCAACAACAATGTAATAAAAACAATACAAGGAAATTTGGATAGGTGCAGAGTGGCACACAATTTGCTTGAAAATTTCAGAGACATTGCTTTAGTTTCGGAGCCGAATAAAAAGATAATATAAAGTGATCTATGAAAATCGCAGACGCAGATAGGGATGCAGCTATTGGGACATATAACGTAAAAAGACAGCGGAGATATCTATCAAACGAATGAATACAAAAAGGGATAGATAGAAATGAAAGAAGTTGAATTGTGCTCTGCACTAATATATTTATCTGAAGTTAACTCAGAAGAGCTAAACGAGTTGGAATCTTATATGGATCACTGTAGACAGTCGACAGTCCTGCATCGCGGCTAAACGACAAAGGCAGTCAGCTCCTTGAGGAAATTCTTGCACCGGGAAGCTTGGTAATCTCAAACGATGGTAGCGCGCCTTTGTCAGAGGAAGCCAAATATCCTATATCGATATCACTTTCCACAGCAAGAACCTGACAATAGGTTCCCACTCGACATGTTGTGCGCGTACGTAAGTACATTTGTATATGTTCAACGCTGAAAACGAGACGACAAATATTTTTGGTAAGAAGACTTGGCACAACGCTACTGACAATAATGAAATGCGACAAGCATCACCGTGGTAGGAGGCATAGCGAACGACTGAGGGGTTTTATTGAGCATTCCGCATTTATGGAGAATCTCACACATCAGGTAGGAAAGGCCGATAGGGCAATACTATGCAGCTGCTTTTTTCCCGAGATTAGCTTCAAAAGCTTTTATGTGTCAAATAGAAAAAACATCAGTCATCACCTTGAGTCGGAAATGAGACCAGAGTTGGTGGTCCGCGCATAGCGCCAAAAACCAATGTTTTTCGTTATAAACTAGTTCACCTTTCTTACAGATGTTGCAAGGGGGATCTGTCGCCAGGTTTGGTTAGCTCAAACGATTGGAACCATTGGTTCTACGGAGCAGCGCTACTTCTAACGTGACCTTTGGATGCAAATACGAGTCAATTAGGTGAACTCTTGATGCTTAAGGGCCGTATCGTCAGTCGTTCCTACAAATGTAGGGCGCCTGTACGGCCTCCTTGTTTTTCATAGTTTTGTTCATGCTTTTGAATTATGTCATCTGTTATGTCAGCCTGAAATTTCCTACAATTCAGAAAGGAAACATAGTCTCACAATAGGAGAGCGCTTACACCGAGTCGGAACGGTAGAAATCTAGAAATACCACAGCCTTTCTGAAGTAGAGAAAAGAATATGAAAATCAAGGAGACCATAAAGGCGTCCTACAATTGTAGGAACGACTGACGATACAGCCCTTACTGATACAGCCGCAGAGCGAGCTGAAAACGGCCAACTATGGTGCATACAACCAGCTGATCCAGTACCCATCTATGATGAATTAGTTCCGCACATGAGCTACGCGAGGCGACATCAGAACAGTGAACGACCCAGCTCCGGCCATTGTAAGGAGTGTACCGCCATTTTATGAGTCAGAATCATGGATATTTTGAAGATAACATGAATAATCTCTATATTAACTGGTCTTTAATAAAAACTGCAGTATCGCGTTGTAACGCCAATAATTGACCACCACAAATTGAACGTGACACTGAAAATGATTAATGGCAAAATCCTAGGATTACTGCATAACGCTGGTGTGTGCATGGTGATGTATTGAATAACCATTTGTCGACTCGTAATGTGCGATGTGAATCCATTTATGTATTGTCAGGGGGTTAGCATTTTAAAATATGGCGATATCCGAACCCTATTGTTAGACGGAATTTCGTTCCACTTGTGTCTCCTGGATATTGGTAGTGTAACATTGAATAAGCTCATGGCAATGTTTGAATATCCGAAAAAAAATGTTTTCGAATCCTATACGTTGAAATATGGGAAATAGTCTTTTGATGTCGCTACTTGTGGTTTACGATATGAACCCCGACATAAACTCACTAACTTCTATATGAATTTCAATTGATGAGGAGGTCACATGTCATAGGGGGCAAGTCTCCTTTTATAGATATCTAAGACTGTCTCGTGTTGGAACTGTATGCAAGATATGTTATGATGATATGAGATTCAGTTTTAATAGGCTCGATACAGCTATTTCACGATAGTTTGTCCCAGAAGAACCTTAAAACGTTAAATTCCAGTGTCTTGGAGACATTCCTACTTAGTGCGATATAGCAAGTTCTTATTCGCCAAATGAATAAATGTTTAGGTGGCCTATACAATAGTACAATAAGAAATTGGCCATTATCAGTTGCACTCAATGCATCCATTTGTTACGACTTTTTTCATTGTATAGTTGCATAGATTTTACGAATTAGAAGGTTCTCTACTACTTACTCGTTTACTAGTTCATAAGATACGGTATAGATAGATAAGAAAATATGGATCTCATACCCTTGGTAAGGTTTATTGCGTATAGGGGTATATACATTGTACATAGCATTTTATATTTCTGCTTACACCTGTTGATCCCTTACTTCTGGTGACTAGCCTATAACTATGAAACCTACAATAAGGCAGATATAAGTAGTGGATAATTGCTTCCTCCTACGACTGTCAGATTACTTATTATCTTTTCCTAACCCCTAATTATAATAGCAGCTATTGTTTATGGTTACATAACCTCAATCAAAAAGGGGTTGATTTGTCGAATGTCAAGACAATATCATTGCCACACTGACAAAATCCGAGCCTGGCGATATCACTAAAATGACAGAGGCCAGAACGGACGGAAATGGAAAAAAAAGAGGTAGACATCGTGGAGCTTTTGTGCACAGGCCTTAACTAGCACGTTAATTACCAGCTTAATTACCACCTTAATTACCACCTTATGCCTTAAAGCCTTAACAGAACTTCGTATGTGGGACCTTGAATCTTAACCATAAAGCTTGTATCTCACATCGCTAAACGTCCATTCAGAAGGGAAACCAGCAGCTTATTGTGGTTGATTCTTACTTTAGTCCAGAAGACCTCCCAAACCTGGAACAGCAGTTTAGTTAGCTCTAATGCAGAGATACTGAAAAGACTATTTGGATAATATCTCGGGTATTCGGTAACTGTTGTACCTTTGTTACTATTCGAATAGTCGCCAGTTCGATTGAACACCTTCATTGAGCCTTTTGTGGGATATCTTGTTTTTGTTTTGATAATAAAACGCGAACGGTGACTGACAACTGACTTTTATTTTAAGTACTACAACCAGTTCCACGGACCACGTGGACGCAGAAGTGGCACCACCATGTCCGACATAACCACGGGGCCATGTGGCCATTTTCACTCCATTCCTTGGTGCTTCACTTCCAAATTTACCGAACCCCCGGGCTACACTTTTGCCTACAGCAAGTATTGTATTATGTTCATTTACTCGTCTGTAATCACATTGTAAAAGCATCAAGTTTGGTCTGATTTCAAGAATCCGGTCCTTCATTGTTGGTGTTGTACCTTAGAAAGACATACGGCGCCTGGGCAAACTTGTTACCTTATTCTAACGTCTGAAGCTATAGCTACTCATGATTATGATTTCGGTACTTAGCAAGAGCAGGTCTATGATCAGCTTCATCATACCATTTAGGCTAAAAACAAACTGTCATAAAGGTTTGTCATTTAGCTGAAAAAAACCCTCAAGGGCGGATTTAGAGGAGAATATGGATGGCACCCGGTCCCCTGGATGCCAAAGTCTCCTTTTTTTTCAAGAAAATTGTATATATTGCCATCTGTTGGTATAACAATTACCTTGCTAGATCTGAGTCGTGAGACGTGCGCTCCATGACGTATTCCACCCCCACTCTTTAATTGTTACAAGATATTTTTCTCTCAGAGCAGCTGCTTAAGGTGCTTGGGCATGCAGCCGCAACCCTCCCCCCGCTTTTCAACTTTAATTGCTGCTGCTTTCATCCCCAAGATGAAGATCTCCCAAATATAAATGCTGCGACCACCGCTGCCCGTTCCTTTCTTACTCCTGCCTAATATCTCTAAGTTGGTCTATCTTTGTGAAAACGTTTTGTGCATTGATTAATAACACGTAATACATTTAATTTACTTTAATCTGTATAAATTCTCATAAAAATGGCGCCGGTTGACAAATCATCATTACATACAGTCTCGCAACAGGGGGAACCAAAACAACGGTATTATAGGTAGCTCAAAAGTAGTAAGTAACATAAAATCCTCGTAAAGCATTCTTATTTGTATCTCGCTTGCAACCCGACACTAAAGCTGAAGATCTAACGTCGTTGCTAAAAAGTCAATTTGCAGAGGCTACATGTGATTTTATTACATCGAAACATCCAAGCGTATATGCCTCATTCAAAATGGCGATCGATGCCGCCCACTCAGATTCAGCTTTGGATCCATCGGACTGGCCTTAAGGCGTATATGTTTCCAAGTGTTTTCTGAAAACCGTTGCAGAAGAGCCTAACTTAGGGTGTGAGATGCAACCAGCCTTGATTAAAATCTGTCACCTCAATATTCGGAGTATAAGTCACAAAACCAAAGAAGTTGGAGAGCTGCTGCATTCATTGAACTTCCCTCATGTGATATGTTTTTCTGAGACTTGGTGTGATAGCGGCGAAATGAGTAGTTTTTATCTCAATTCTTATAAGTTATCTTGCATCTATCGCTCTCCTTCGGCCAATGATATTTTTTTTTCTTGAGAATCTAGAGAAGTTATTTCCAAAACTATAACTGATAAAATATTTTCAAACATCGACGAAAGCTGTCTGAGAGCTAGAGTTATTCCTGTTGATTTCGCAGACCACCACCTACAAATGGTTTCATATGAATTACTGTCACCAGTTCTACCATCATCTACTATAAAATAAATTTAAATGATATTCATAGTATCTCACACCTTAGATACATTTTACAATCTCAGGATTGGGAATTTCTGAATTGTACACACTTCAATAGTGACGAAAAGTTTAGAATATTTCACTCAACTTTTTTGAAAGCTATTGAGTAAACATTCCCTCTGCATATGCGGAGAGCTAGGCCTGAAATATGTACATATAATGCGTGGCTGACAAGAGATCCGTTTCATTTGTATAACGCAACGGATGATGTTGAGTTCCATCGCAATACTTAAATTTGTTAAAAAGAGGCATAATTATAATATAGCTGATGCAAAGCGTCATTAGTTTAACAAAATAATACTGACATCCTCAGATATTTCTAAAGCGTCCTGGAATATTATCAAAGAACGTTGCAAGACAAACACCGGCCGATCTACGCTCACAAATATGTTTAACGATAGTGGTCAGCCGATAGAAGATCAGAATCTTCCTGATGTGTTCAACGAATATTTCGTAAAATCAGTTAAAGGCATCCTAAATGATGTGCATGCAAACGAATCATGTAGTAGTTCCAGATTTTCTCCGATAAATTCTATTTTCCTCTCACCGACAACGTATGATGAAGGTATTCCATGTTCACTACTTAGTCAAATAACCGATCTAATTGTTACGCCACTGGTACACCTTATTAATTTTTCTTTCCAGGAAGGAGTGTTCCCGCCTATGTTAAAAAAAGGGATATTTCGAACCGATTCATAAAAAGGTTAACTCTCGCCTCATTTCTAACTTCAGAGGTATAGCACTTTTATCCGCCTTTTCTAAGATTTACGAAAAAGCGTATGCTTGCAGATTATACACATTTATCGTTAAGAACGACATATTGACCTATTACCAATTTGGTTTCCGAGAAAATCGTTCTACTCAGGATGCTGTAATTAGTCTGTATAATGTGATCTTAGAAAATTTGGACAAAAAACAAGAATGTTTAACTTTATTATTTGATCTCAAACGCGCTTTTGATACAGTAGACCATTCAACTCCAATAAGTAAGATTTTTGACATTGGTATCCGAGGCTGTGCTCTTGATTTGTTGACAACGTATCTATATGACCGTACACAAGCAGTTCGGGCTAAAACTGGAACAGGCCTTCTTAAATCTTCGCCTTTACCTGTGGAAACTGGTGTTCCACAGGGAAGTATACTAGGCCCGTTGCTATTTATTATTTTCATTAATGATTTCATGACAAAGTGCAAAATTTTTCCATAACGCTATACGCCGACGATACTGTTTTCACTGTTAAAGCGGCTACTACTGATGATCTAGTTAGCACAGCTACTAGGGCAACAGAGGGCATATCCCGATATTGCACTGATAACTGTTTTAGTTCTAAGCTCGTCTAAGACATCAATGGTAGCCTTCAGCAGCAAAAAAGGGCTCTCAGTCTGTTATTCAGATGCAGCAATTGAAGAGTGTATCAACACTCTATTTTTAATTATTTAGGTTCTGCATAAATAGGAGATATACCATATTCAATGTTATGAATTACGCCGGACTGTAGATGTACTTATACCCCCACACAGACTGTCTCTAACTTCAAAAGGGCCCAATATTATGGCCATAAAGTTGTACAACAAGTTACCTTTTTAAGGCAAAAAATAAGGACAACTATGTTGAATACCGCCTTCTATAGCATTGAGGAATATTTTAGCTGTGTATTTCAGTGATGGTCTCTTTTGTATTCATCAACGTTTGTCTCATATTGTGATGTCATGTTAGTCATTCTACTTGTTATGTTCATTTTATATACAAGATATGTTGCCGAAATGGCCGTTCGGGTTTTTAAAAAAATTCTATTTTTACTTTACAAGACTGTCTACAATATAACTTGAAATATTTTACGATGGATAAAATGTACAATACGACGTACAAACGAGGAATCTGCGGAATGCATGAAGAACCTCTATTTATCATCTCGGGCTTGGATGCTTTCCTCAGCATCCCTCCCTACCTAGTCTGAGAACTGAATAGGAACGTTTTCTGTTTTCAGGAGGTTTTCTTCTTTTTGCATCTTTCTTGGGCCTCTCTTCACTGGATTCGGAATTTCTTCATCTTTCTTGTATTGGGGTAGATCATTTTTCTTCTGGATTTGTTTTCTCTAAATATACCAAAAAGTTACTGCTACTGTAACAAGCAGAAAAATAGTAAAAACTGAGCTGCTAGAAAACCAAATTAAGGGATCAATAGCGGCTTTTTCTGGCATTTGAAGAAAATTTGCTTTCTCTTGCATTTCCTTGATCTTATCGCGGTCGAGAGTCTTGAGGGTTAAAGCTTTCTTGGACACAAAGTTCGATCTTGCATTCCAAAATTTTATGTCTGGAAGGACCAAAGGATTTCCTTTGATTTGATACTCCTTGTTCCAAAAATTGGATGAGTTGATTTGTATTCCACAATTTTCGGGTATTTCCACTAAATTTGGCGTTTCTAAAAGAAGTGGTTGGTGAGAACCACACGACTTGACTGCTGTGATCGGCTGGTCAGCGGGTATGACCAAAATGTGTTTTGCTGATATCGCTTCAACAATAGGACTGGATACTTGTAACGTCGTGAATTGGCATTTTGAAAATTCGGCTTTCTTCAGCAACTCGTTTAGAAAACCTTCAATGGGCTCTTGTCGATTCTTGCAGTAGTAGAAGTTTTCAATTTCTGGACATTTCAAATTGTTGATGACTTGTTCCAAGAGCCAAAAAGGGATGGGTTGGAATAATGGTTGAATTTCTAATAGGAACTTGGTATAGACGGAAAAATTGGACTTTTTCATCAGATAAATATAGGAAATCTTATAGAAAACACGATTCTATTATCAGTAAATGTAATTTGTGGATCAGCTACTAAATAGTATGATTGTAAATTTTGAAAATTTGGTACTTTCTTTTTACCATACAATTTTTTACTAAATACTTTATGATTTTCTCTGTTTGAAACTAATATGATAGAACTATGTAAAGTGTTCAATTTTGCAAACATTATAGTGTCCTCCAAATTATCTAAAAATGTAATCAAATTTTGACAACTTAGATTAAGTTGCTGTACAATATTTTCAGTGAGAAGGTAAGCTGTCAAGCTTCCTACAGTTGCATTCATCGCTTTTTGGAGATGATACAATTTCGCTTTGATCTGTACCAGACTAGAGCTTAATAATGAAATTGTAGAATTGTAATTGTCTATCAATCCTTTAGTCAGTGAGGTCTGAAGTTTCAGTTGACTATCCACAGAGTTTGCGTTCTTTTGTGATTCGTGAAGTGCATTATTAACTTTGATTT